TGCCTTCCACGCGCCTGCCTTCCGGGCCTGCCTTCCACGCGCCTGCCTTCCACGCGCCTGCCTTCCGGGCCTGCCTTTGCCTTCCACGCGCCTGCCTTCCATGCGCCTGCCTTGAACGCGCCTGCCTGCAACTTGAGCCACTTGAGCCACTTGGTCCAAAATGCTATGTCTGTCTGTCTGAGTCAGTCTGTCTGTCTGTCTGTCTGTCTGTCTGGTCTGTCTGTCTAGTCTGTCTATGTCTGTCTTCTCATTCCTTCCTGCTCCTGTGGTGGGTGGTGGGAGGCCCATGAAAATGATCCTTTCCTGGATGATAACCAGTGCCAAGTGCAATGAGGGGGTTCAACAAAAAATCAATAAACCTCAAACAAAAATCATCTTTTTTCAATCAGCTTATCCCAGGCATCTTGGCACGAAAGGAAGGCCACCAATAAAGGGTCTGCCAACCATTAATATGGAGAGGCCTGAACACAGTGAGAAAAACAAAGAATTAATTAACCCACAAAAGTCAACCCCAACTATAGGCCTCTCCCAGCTCAAGATGTTTTGGACCAGGTGGGTCCCACGTGAGCATCGCGAAGCCCACCCCACCCTCCCTGGAGGTGCCAAACAACAGAATTGCTTCTCAAAATGCAATTCTTTTTTTATTATTAAGCCTAGTTTCAATTGGCAGACCCTTTTTTCATTGTTTCAAAAAACTGCACCACCACCACCACCATTATTAATTAACCCCCCTTGATGGATGATGCAAGAGGAGGAGTGGGAAAGCACAGGATGGGATAGATAGATAGATAGATAAATAGATAGATCGATCGATAGGACCTTACATAGGAACCTTGGTTTGGTCTTCGACCCTGGTCTAGTGGTTTGGCCTGTTGGAGTCTGAACCAGTCCGGGGAACATGTCCGGGAGGGGTATGGAACAAATTGTACCAAAACATCTGACGTATCATCTCAATCCTGTTTCTCATGGTAAATGTATTTCAATGTATTTCAGCAAGCAAAGCGCACATTTTCATTGAAGCTCAAACAATTGTAAACTAGGAATCCATAGGTGTGGAACATTGTGGAACGATGGGTATGGAACAGCAAACACACATGTGGTGCCACAGGTATGGAACGGGGTATGGCGTGAGATGTTCAAGAGTACATGTATGTACATGTATTTCAATATAGTTCAATATATTTCAGCCAGCAAAGCGTACGTTTTGATTGAACCTCGAACAATTGTAAACTAGGAATCCATAGGTATGGAACAGGGTATGGAATGAGATGTTCAAGAGTACATGTTCCATGCCAAACCGTTTTGACTCATGGCCATGTCATGACCCCCTCCCCCCCATCGCGCGAAACTCCCGCCTCCACCCACTTAAGGGTCTCCCCCCCCAACGACTCGACAAGGGCCCAAAAAGAGGAATAATGGAGGTCTTGAACATAAAAAACTAAAAAGGAAGGCCCAATCATGACATTGACAACACATGTTAGGGAGTTGCCTGTGTGTCATAAGCCTGCCGGCCCAACCGGCCCCTCGGTTCGAATCGATCGAGTCCAAAGGTCCACTGTTAGTTAGAGGGATGTTCTATTATTGTAATACCTAGAACCTCCTCTTGGGCAGAAATTTCTGCCTATTATGGGTAAAAGCGTCTTTTCTGGGCTGTGCTTAGGCGTTCTTGTCCCTTCTGGCGTTCTTGCCCTTTTGGTGGCATTGCTCAAATAGATGAGGATCCACCCACCACTGATTCCAGCAACTTTCATAGTGAGGTACATTGGCTTGCCATGAATTCACTTACACTTAATGTGTCTCTTGTGATCTCTTTTGTTGGATTTTGGTTGTTCCATGCTTTGATTCATTATGATTCATTGCTTTCTTTGATATCTTTTGCGTAGTTCCTGTCACTTAGGCGTTCTTACCCGTTACTTGGGCGTTCTGGCCCGTTACTTAGGCATTCTTGCCCGTTCCCCCCCTCACTACAATCAGCAGGTGGGTGGACAACGGAATGGTAGCCTGTTGGGGAGAGTGAGCAGCATGAGTTTCAATAACTTTAGACTGGGGATTAGCGTCAAGTGGCAAGCGTTTGTTTTCTCAAAGTGTTTTCATTCTTCAATTTCTGTGATTCCGCCTCAGCGTTTTAGACCCTCGAGGCTGCAGCTTAGGTGTTCTTTGCGCAAACGGGCTGAATTTTCTGCCTAAATGGCGTTGGGCGGAAATTCTTGCCTAAGTTGCCTAAGGAGGTTCTAGGTATATTGTAATAAATCACAAGTAGGATCCAATAAGATATATTACATGGCTCAGCCCGACGGATGATCCCCCCCGCCGACCTGAAGGTCCAAGATCATCAGCAAGCCAAGAAAGGTCAGAGAAGAACACGAAGAACCTGCAGTAGATGATAAGCTTAGGTGGTCAATGCCCACACTTGAGAGAGGAGGGGGGTGAACGAAAGGCAGCAGGCAATCACAAGTAACCCTGGTAGAAGTCCATGATGGCGTGAACTCCTGATTGTAATACATTTTTGCTAAAGCAAGGAGAACTCAGGTAGCTCAAGCTACCTTTCGTGATATACCCCCATGCTGACACATGTTATCACATATTGCCCTGAGCTGCATTCATGATGGATTGCAACAAGATTTGCTTCGAATAACCATTGAAACATGTTGAAAATCATTGATCATCATTGAGTCATTAAACCGTGATTCACTGAAGGTTAAATGGAGGGTGTGTAGAGAAAGTAGTGGGTCAGCAAAAATCATTCATACGAAGTTAGCGCATCAAAAATACCTTCCAAGAAGTTCTGCGAAGGTTTCTAGGATTTCGTGTTCTCCTACTGGCCCACCATTCCACGAACTGTCCACGAATAGCCGCTTGGTTTCTACGAATGTCCGGAGCCTTCCACGATGTTAGTAATTAGAATTGTTTTTTGCAAAACCCTTTCTGTGCCCTACCCTTCCGTTTGCCTCTGATTCACCCCTGATTCACCTGTGATGCAAAATCGGCCTGAGCACTTTCTAGAACAAAGGGGATCACAGGCCACCCCCTTGACCTCTATCCAGCCGCACCCCTCCACAAACCCAAATGACACTGACACACACCTCTTTGCAACCTTGTCGACCATCGCCCAGAGGCTTCTTCGATTCTTCGATGAGTGGAGCTTCGGCTTCAGCTTCCTGTCCGGTGCTCCGGTCAAGGTTGGCGCTCCGAAGCAGGCCGGCCCGCACTCTGTGGGGAGATGCTGGCTGGAAAGAGCGCTCTATAATTCTCTATATAATAGTTCGATACCGGCTGCTTGGCTGAGAACAAAGGCAACTCAGTGTTTGCCTTTGCCCGGACTGACCTAAGATTCCAAGATATTCCAATGTGGTATGTGCTGGGGACCAAGCTGTGACCTTCAGGCTAAGGCTACCAAAGAAACCCAGAACCCTCAGCTCATATCGCCTCCAAATCTGGAGCTGGCTTCGTCTCCTCCTTGATCTCCTGACCTGCAGTGACCACTTTTTACTGACAACTTTCGGATCAACATCTCTTTCTACAGGTCATGGGGAACCGGGAAAATGCACAATTGTAGAATATTCAAAATCTTTTGGTGCCTTCAACAATCTTCAACTTGCCCAAAGACCAGACTTGTAGAGACTCCGATTGGAACATATTGGAACGATGACAGTGCACCATGTGAGCGAGCAATGAACCTACTGTCACCAAGATGCGCAGTGAGTAGGTATTCTTCTCAAAGATCTTGGACATACCAGCCTTGGCACGTGAAAGATGGTTCAACCATGTCTCCAGTTCATACGAAAGGAATCTCAAGACCTCAAAAGGCAAACACTTGCAACATCTTGCAACACAAATAGTGATTTAGATTGATTTAGGATGCTTTAGGGCATGTAAAGGCAAACCTTGTTGTAGGCAAAGAGTCACCGCACGAACGAACTTCACAATCTGCTTCTTGGTTGAATATGCAAGTAATATCAAGTAATCAATCGCCCCAACAAGTGACTTTTCTTGAACATATGTGCCAACATGTGCCAACTCAGTCGTTAGACGACATACATTCATCCCTACTACGGGGGGGGGGGATAAAGCACCTGCATGGCTCCCTCCACAAGTGTCCCGGCTCTTCCAGCGCTTAGACATGCCAAGACATGCCAAGACAATCATATATTCAGAACATATCAGAACAATTCAGAACATATCAGAACCATGTTTCTTTTTGCTACTGGGTTCCTTTTGCAAGCGGTGGAGTGTGGAGTGAAGTGGAGTGGAGTGGAGTGGAGTGGAGTGAAGGGCCATGTGCTACACAGCACACATACACTGTATGATACTGTGTGATACTGTACTGTATGACTGTATGGCTCGCACCCCCAAAGCTCACCTCGACACATGAAAAGAGGACTCCCGAGCTTGGCGCCATATTCTATCCCTGTTCTCCACCCGAGGTGGTGGCCAGAGCCAGCCCCGGGGGTCCCCGAGTCGGCAAATCCAATCCCCAACCAAATCCGCCCATGCTACGCGTTAGGGGGGTCCTGGCGGATCAGCCGGGTTATTGAAAAATCTCTGACCCAGGGCCAGGCAAGGACTATGACTACTCAAGAACCCTCGTGTCGGTGCTGGGGGGCATTGGCGCCATCTGTGTTCCAGCATCATTTTGGATCCACGCAGTAGCTTTCGCATGGTCCATGCGGAGTGATGCTGGACACGCATGCACATACACAATGTTTTGGGGACGGTGGTGGAGTGTGGCGGAATGGAGTGGAATGGATTGGAGTGGAGTCCAAGCTCCAAAGTGAAGATGATCAAGAATGAAGATCACGATAGCGGAGCAGGGGTAGAGCATTAGAGCATTATTTTATCAGTGTTGTACATGTTTTTTTGGAATCCTCGACTTGGAACCCCACCCCACTAGATGGCCTGGCTCATGTTTTTTTACTATGTTTTACTAGTTTTATATAGATTTTATCTAGATTTACTAGATCGTATCCACTCAGCCTCACTCAGCCATGCTCCCAAGCAACTGCAAGCATAGTGCCGCCACATCAGAGCTGGAGGATTCCAAAGAACCAGTTCGAAGCGCCCGGCCGCTGCTCATCCTGGGTCTCCACCCAGTGATTCCAAAGCGGACTGAAGTGGGATGGAGTGAACTGAAGAGGTGCATGTGATGGGGTGAGAATTCTTAGGTAGGGGAGGGGCATTACAGACTTACAGATAGATCTCTTGGGTATTAGCGATTCAAAATGATTCAAAGATACAAAAACAGTGGCAATCAGGGACCAGGGCCTGGCTCCAGAGCTAGGTGGTACTGTATTAGTATACGGTTCAATATGGTTCAATAATATCAGCATGCTGAATCAATCTGATATCCTGATATCTCCGCAGGTCATGTGAACCACAAAATAAAACTGAGTCTGAGGCGCCAATCCGGCTGGTGCCGATGGCGCAAGATCTCCAAGACCGCGGAGAGGTCCGCCAAAACAGGGAGCGAGCGAGAAAGCGCATCCGCCCATGCACCAAGCTGGGAAAATAGGTGCGATCAGGAAAGCATGTTCAAAAGTGTATGAACTGATGTAATGTAGTTGGAGGATACTCCTATTACATCCTATTACTATTGGGGAGATATTCGTATTTTGGAACAACATGGAACAACCATCAAGTCATGTCTCTGTGCCTTGTGTCAATGAAAACATCTTTTGTTGGCTGACCTGCCCCCCCAACCAGACACTGTGTGATCAGCCCATCCAGCTGCTCCAGAGCCAAACATCAAACACGCGAATCACTGCCATCCACCATTGACCATTCGCTGCGAGAGTCATCCTGTCCCTCATCCATCAGATCGGTCTTCAGTTCTTCAGACATAATGATCAAAATGTCAAAATTGTGTCTCTTGATCTTCCATTGACAAAATGGTGCAGGGATGACCTCTCTGGTGGACCCAAAATTAAAGGTTGGACCCTTCAATGCGGCCCCACCTCTCACAGGCCTCGGGAAGCTGCTTTTCTTTCCAGCGTAGTGTCTGTTTGTGTGTCTGCAGGAATTGAGTTGATGTGATGTGTGCCAGTGCCTGAATATGATCATCCCTTCGCACGGGCACCGCACGCAGCACGGAACGCACACACCTGCACGCCCACGGAACGCCACGGCACACGCAGGAAAATCCTCAATATGACTCTGAGTCACTTGATTGGAATATTGAATCAGACGACATTACACTTGCCGCTCAAAAAGCTTGGACCCATGCTTTCTGTTTGCCTAGGCAATTGGGTGACTACACAAAGGCTGTTGAGTTCACTCAGTCAACCCCTCAATTTCTTTTCTAAGAGTGTTGCATTTTGTGACTCATTCCTCTTCTAGGACGCAACGCTGCCGTTTGGACCCTTTTCATGCAACAAAACAAGACACTGGTGGAACTACCCTGAGAAAGGATCTAGTGGAGGAGTCACTGCCACTTACAAGCCTCGAAATGCAAGACACAGCTAGCTCTTGAAATCTAGTTGCCAGCTCAAGGGGGTGCTCCTTACAACCACGCACCCTGCCGTGAGAAGCGGCCCAAGTAAGTATACTGAGAGTACACATGCAAGTTGGCCCTGTTGGAACGGGGTTAACCTGGAAAACACCAGTTGTGCTGATGTCATTCTCGCTTAACACCATTGTCTCCAAGAATGTCAACATAGAAGATCGTAGAAGTTGGATCCAGAATCCTTGGGCTTCTGGCTGAATTCTTGGCTTGATCAAGCTTAGCGAAAGCCAGAACCGAAAATCCCCAATCTGTTGCCACAACCCGGCCGGTGCCAAGGATGTGGCCGGATTGGGGTGCACCTGGCTTTCAGGATCAGGTCATTCTTTTGAAAGATCTTATATGGTTCAATCATGTACGTTCAATCATGTTCCCATACCTGGTGAATATTGTTTGTCATCCAGCTTCCGAATGCTTCGCCGCTTGCCGGCCACCGATCGCGCTCTCCCGCTCGCGCTCGCGCTCACCGAGCCGATGCCAAGCTTCAGCGTAGGCTCGGTGGAGGTCTCGGGTGCTTCCACCTGGAGAGGTCAGCGAAGCACGGTCAGCCATCACCACGCGCAGCTGGTCAAAGTGGTCAGACTGGAGGTGCTGTCCGGTACGTCCAGCGCGGGACCTGGACAAAATATCAAGAAATCACCCAAAATCACCGAGGCTACTGAATGAACTCACCTTAAGCAAAGCCCAGTTTGTTCAGAGTCTGGGGTGGCCGTTTCCTCACCCCGTCCGGCCCTCGCGCCCCGGGAGTCTCTAAGGCATGTTGAAAAAGCCACATGGATCGTTACAGTAGTCCTTTTGGGGCGGACCAGGACCTGCACGTATAGTATAGTGTAATTGTAGAATGATGGTGAATCAGAAACACTCTTCACATCTCTTGACAACCTATAACGCAAAGTGCGTCAAAAGCTGGATGTGATTTCTTCTCTATACAATGGGTGCAGTGTAGTTGCTTGGATCCTGTGCCCCAACATCCTGCTGTCTCACTCTAGACTAAGCGGTTCAGCCTGTGACTATTCCCCACCTCCATCTTCCACCATCGAAGGATTTCCAAAACGGCTCAAAAGAGACCAACCATGAATTGACTTTGACATGGCCGTTTCAACCATATGTTTTCCGCAGAACCGAGCCGAAGACAAAACCGAACCGGGACCAACCGAACCCAAACACCCACCCGCATTGGCCATCGCACCCAGCCTGTGCCAGGAGCCCTCCCTCTGTAGCTCCCCAGCGCCACACCCGCCGCGCGTCGGAGGCACAGGCGCGCGTGGAGACCACGCCCAGGCGCCGTTGCCAAGCGCGATGGGCAGGCGCCTGGACTGTGGAAGGTTTTAACTTTGCTTGAGGGGTGGAATTCATCCCAAAAAGGGAAACCACATCTACAAAATCATGATAGATCTAGAGGCCAACGAAGGACACAGGACACAAGTCCACCATGTGTTTTTGTTTGAGTCTTTTCATGTATTTGTTCTCGTTTCTTTTTTGCGACGTGAATTCAAGACATGTCGGGTGAGAAATCTTTACTGGTTGGAACTCACATAGTTTGTTTTCAACTGCCAACACCCCTTAAAGATCCGTAAAGTGTTCTCGTTCAGCCTTAAGCTTGTCGAAGATTCTTCAACTCGAAACTACTTCTTTGGACACATGGAGAAGACACCAGTCACCAGTCCATCTCAAAATTAATTTGGAGATGGACTGGTGACTGGTAAATTGGGAACCTCTGAAGATCCATATTGATAGAACCCTTCAAAACAGCAATTCTCGCCGTTTCTCCCACTGCCGTTTCCGTGCCTTTGACGGAAACGAGCGGTGATGTGGATCACCCAGAAACAGGAAGTCCGACCACGCTTGATCTACCAGGTCCAGGACCCGAGCATCACCGGCATGGAGGCGGCATGTCTTCTTCCTGTCTACAACTCAGAGTCGATCAGTACAGCTGCGACCAGGGCACCAGCACGCGTCGCATGGCGGCTACCAAGCCAAGCGGCCGCTCAGTCGAAGCGGCCAAGCTGGAGCCAAAGGTTGGAGCCGCTCAGTGTCTCAAATCGCGAATGGCCATGAGTCACAGAGTCACGGAGCTCAAGATGCCGATTCATTGGAAGGAGTACAGGTGCCCCCTGTCACATCCACTCACTTATTAGGAACCACCCAAATCCTAGGTGATTCATCGCAGGTTTCAGCTCCTTCGTTTTCGACATACACGACGTACGTACGGATGCCTCCGACCTCGACATCAGATCAGTCGTAGTGGTCGCTTTCTCTTCAGGTCCCTGCTGGACCTGCTCATCTGGACCGTACGACCCAACCACCCACCCGCTCTCCGTCGATCGCTTGGAGACTTCGTTGGGTCGCTCCCCGATGGTTTTGTTCCACGCCCGGCGGGCGCCCCACGGAGGTCAGATTGAAAAATCCACGCGAATGCTCCACAGGAGTTCTGGGCCCAACTGGCGCCAAATGTCTGAACTTTTTTCACATCTTGAAAAAAGAACGCGCACATGATAGATCGATATATAAGCCTTAAGCAACAAAAACTGTTATATAAAAGGAGTCAATAAAAACAATGTTTTCTATGAAAACCCGATGCTTTTGAGTCTAAGATGTTGTTCAGGATGTTTCACTGACCGCACCATTCCGCTCGCAGTAAATCATGAATTAAGACCACTGCTGCTGAATTTCTCAAGCTTGAACCCATCCGATCGGAAGGCCTTCCAATATATAAGCAACAAATTATGATTGTGCTTTCAAGTGTGTATTGACGAAAAAAAACTGATAAATAACATCCTGCAAAACATGTTCCATGGGAAGGTTAAAATAGTACGAGAAACATATTGAATTTAGCACGGGTTGCCGGAAAAAAAGAGCCATGGTATCCTGTTTTTAGTGCCCACGCTATTTGTTAAAAAGTACGGGGTAGTATAGGTAAAGTACTGGTATGGCACGGGATTGAAATCCAACCGTCATTTTTGCATCACAGTATGTCTCAGGTGTCAAGATCTTTGGTGATGTTCTCCACTACTCATTACAGTCGAAGCAAAAATCTTCAGATTAATCATTAGTCAAGTAAATTGTTCTTGATTCTGTTTGTGCAGTGTGCGAGCCGGGTGGAGGATTGAAATTGGACCTGGGCACAAAGGGACGCCCAGCCAATGCCTTTGTTCATCAACAAAAGCCTTTTAGGATGTCACACATATGTCGGTTTTGGAAAACCAATGTTTTTTTAAACACAACCCATCAAAACCCGATGTATTTCAGAATGCGTGTGTGTGAAAACCAACGTTTTTGCATTCACCCCTTTAAACAAAACACAGGTTTTGGTGCTGAAAGTATATGTGGATCTTCCACCTGTACAAATTTATGCCTTATATATCTATAAACAACCAGCCAAAAGGCGGAACTTTTTTTTGCATAGTTGGAAGATCCTTGTACGGATTCGTTCAGTATACATGAAATGATTACCACTGCAGCCTGGCAAACCCACAGGCCATGTCACTGTCTACATTGTTTTTGGGTAAAAAACATCCATACTACCACTGAAGAGGAGGGTCCAGTGGTCCCTCACCTGGAGGAGTATCTCTGGCCACACCTGGGGGGACCAGAAAAGCATGGCCGAATGAGTGGGCTGGAATGGAAGCCTCATCTCTCGGTGTGGAACCCTTTTCAAGAACGCAGCTTCAAAAGCTGGTCGAACGCTGGTCGAACGCATGGTCTCAAACCGCTGACACTCTGGTCGGACGGCGTTGGGCCCAGCCCCCCACGAGTGAAATGACTTGGACCCCAAATATCACCGGCACAGACAGCGCCGGGCGGCATGGGCAAATCAGAGGCATTTCTCTCGGTCGTGATGTGCTTGCTCGGCCGATCTGAAAGTGGGCATGGTCCAAATCTCTGGAGTTTCGGGTGAACAGGTCCAAGGAACACAGTCTTCCCGAAGTGAAAAGAAAAGAGCTCCTCTTCACACTTCGCCCTGCAAGTGACAAAGCTGCAGGAAATCGTTTTGATTGAATTTGCTTCTAATCACGTGTCACATCGGAGCAACATAGTGCTGGAGACAAACCCATGTCCATGGTCTTCATTCATGTTGGAGGTCTCTTCTGGAGGCTTCTGGAGACCAACCTTCAAGCAGCAGGTGGTGACCATGTAGCTTCGTCATGTGGACAGGTCCGATTGGTTTCTTCGTGTGGGTGTGGCAGGGCGAGCCTGGGACTCATAGCAGTCCTATGGCAGTCCCATGGAGTGTCTGGGTATCATAAACCAATATACACCATCCATGTGTTTTAGCCCAACTATCCGTGGTTTATGACCCTAATGCATAGATATCGATAACTACTCCGTCCACGTTCAGCGTTTGGGTAGCATCGTACCATCAATGAGCTCGACATCCCGACTTAATGGCTCTATGCAAGTGGGAGACTTGGGGAGCTTCGATTGTCAAGGGGCATCCCTCTGTCTGGATGGAGCTTTTGGGTGGATAAGCAGGGGAACACTCTCTATGATGGCACGAAGCTTGGATAGATCTTTTCTGTGCAAACGTGGCTTGGATAGATCTACTGTGCAGGATAACACTCTTTTCGGATGATTCCCCAGCGACGTGGCACCAGCTTCGGGTAAGGGATCAAAAAAACATAGAATCAACAAAATATTCAACGGAGATCAATAAAAACATAGAAAGGTAATCAAAAAATTATTCTAGCCCACTGAGGATGGTTGGGCTAGTAGCAGTAGCAGTAGCAGGATTAGGAGACCAAGGGAAGAGGATGGAAGGAGTAGGTGACTAGGAGAGTGTACCTCCCTAGGAGCTCCTTCCTAGTAGGGAGCTATTTCTACTAGTGTACCATTTTTCGAGTATGGCTCCTCAATGACCGGACGGCTACCATCATTGGGTACCTACTTTCCTCCCAGGGAGCTGCCTCTAGTAGAAAGCAATCAAGCCTCTATTTGCGCAAGCAGGGGGCCAGGAGACCAAAAGACGAGCGGAGTAGGAGAGCAAGAGACCAGCGGACCAGGAGACAGAAGGACCAGGATACCAGGGGACCAGCGGACCACAGGACCAGGAGACCGGAGGACTAGGGGACCAGTGGACCAAAGGACCAAGGGACCTTGTTACCAGAGGACCCGCAGACCACAGGGCCAGGAGAGCAGCAGAAGAGGCCTATCAAGGAATATTTACTTTTGATGTGTTTTTTATCTTTATGTTGATAATCATTTTAATTTTTTGATGCTCGTTTTATTTTTTTTGATACCTATGCCACCAGCTTCAGGTTGGCGGAAAACGTGCTAACCGAAGAAACCCGCGAAGCACTGAACTGGCATGAACTAGCGATTTGCTCGCGCAAAAGGAGTACATTCATGCATATATTGGAATGAAAACCGCTCCTGAGACATCCTGACACCTCGTCCCAAACATGTCTAAATTCCCGCCGACAAGGCTAAGGGGTGCTTAATGGACACCCCTTAGCATCTAAGGGGCGGAGCTATTATTTGACACACCGTGGGCCTTGTGCTTGAATCATCGACTTTTCTTTCAACCACTGGTTGCTACTACTAGGAGCAAGGACGCTACTAGTAGCTCCTGGCCTTACTACTAGTAACAAGAAGCTCCTAGGAGCAAAGGGCATCGCTACTAGGAGCAAGTCCGAGCACAGATTGGCCGAGCACATGTGCAAATCGCTTTCGCCGCGAATTACGGCGGCGAAAATAAAACTGCGCAAGGGTCTGCCCGAATGGGTTTGGCGCGTGGTCGGTTCGATTGAACCATGCGGACATCCCAGAGCTGAAACCAAAGAAAACAAGAGAGGTGGAACTTGACCTGACAAAGGACCTGTCACCTGGGGTACCCAACTGGGACGGGTTCTTTTTCTTGTTGGAAGTGTCTACAAATGTGGAAGACTTCCAGTCGTTCCAGGCGAACAACGTTGGCGTCTTCAACCTCTGTTTCAAACATCTCTTCAGCGTTGGGACGTCTCGACACGTGGCCGACCGTCGCCACCCTTGTGGCCACCCGGGCGAACGCGACGCTCGCGTCGCTCTCCGCCGACCATCGCCGAGCGTGGCCGACGGTCTCCATGCGACTGGCGGATTTGGGCGTCCGGAGGTGCGAATAGAAGCAAATCCGCCGACCCCACTGGTGGGGTCAGGCGTGACTGTTGATTAAGGCTAAGGCTATGATTAAGGCTAGCCTGGTTAAATATCAAAAGAAGACGTTGACTAAGATGGAAGTGCCAGGACCCTCTAAGGGGTGCCCAATGAAAGCCTATAGGTAGTGTGGAGTAGTCCATTGGACACCCCTTGGAGGGTCCTGGTGAATGGCAGACCCTGTTTGTAGAGGACAGGACAGTCTTCGGTCCCATGTCCCACGTAACCATGTGATGTGTGTGTGTGTGATATGAGTCAGTCAGAGTGTAGCTTTCTATACCACCTTTCGGCGAAGATGCAAAGCTGACTCAACGTAGACCCAGATGTGGTGGCGGTCTAGGCAAATGACTTGAGTTTCCAAGCTCGGCAGCTGGCTTTCAGTTGATCTACTCACCCACGGCGCTACGCTATACGGCGCTACATTCTTATTTACATGACCCCAATTCTATGCCAGTCTTATGGAGTGTCTGGGATCAGCTTTCGCTTGATGTCGGCTCTTCATGCGAGTTGGGCCCTCATCATGGCGCCATAGGTCAATGTCCATCGCAGCCGCGATAAGACGATCTTGCAGGGTCTTTGTTTCTTGGTGCTTCTCAACAAGGCCATCATGAGGAATGAGGCATCATGGTTTTGACCCACAGCTGTGCCAAATTCGCCGGCCAAGAGAGACACTTCCACCAAGCGCGCTCGGATTTATTTTTCCAACATCTTAGACCCGAGCATGGCCAAACTTGTTTCTTTCCAAAGCAGTTGCCTGGCCTCCCCCCACCAAAAAAAAAGGAATGGCCGTAGAAAAGTCAAAGAGCAACACTCTTAATTGCCTTGTGCACCCAAGAGTTCAACCAACTTGTGGGCAGCCCAGAATCTTGAACCTCTTCTTAGTATTGA